TATAGACTAGACTATAGACTAGACTATAGACTAGACTATAGACTAGACTATAGACTAGACTATAGACTAGACTATAGACTAGACTATAGACTAGACTATAGACTAGACTATAGACTAGACTATAGACTAGACTATAGACTAGACTATAGACTAGACTATAGACTAGACTATAGACTAGACTTAGACTAGACTATAGACTAGACTATAGACTAGACTATAGACTAGACTATAGACTAGACTACAGACTAGACTATAGACTAGACTATAGACTAGACTATGGACTAGACTATAGACTAGCACATAGAATAGGACTATAGACTAGACTATAGACTAGACTATGGACTAGACTATAGACTACACTATAGACTAGACTATAGACTAGACTATAGACTAGACTATAGACTAGACTATGGACTAAACTATAGACTACACTATAGACTAGACTATAGACTAGACTATAGACTACACTATTGACTAGACTATAGACTAGACCTATAGACTACACTATAGACTAGACTATAGACTAGACTATAGACTAGACTATAGACTAGAACTAGACTAGACTATAGACTAATATAGACTAGACTATAGACTAGACTATAGGACTAGACTAGACTATAGACTAGACTATAGACTAGACTATAGACTAGACTATAGACTAGACTATAGACTATAGACTAGACTATAGACTAGACTATAGACTAGACTATAGACTAGACTATAGACTAGACTATAGACTAGACTATAGACTAGACTATAGACTAGACTATAGACTAGACTATAGACTAGACTATAGACTAGACTATAGACTAGACTATAGACTAGACTATAGACTAGACTATAGACTAGACTATAGACTAGACTATAGACTAGACTATAGACTAGACTATAGACTAGACTATAGACTAGACTATAGACTAGACTATAGACTAGACTATAGACTAGACTATAGACTAGACTATAGACTAGACTATAGACTAGACTATAGACTAGACTATAGACTAGACTATAGACTAGACTATAGACTAGACTATAGACTAGACTATAGACTAGACTATAGACTAGACTATAGACTAGACTATAGACTAGACTATAGACTAGACTATAGACTAGACTATAGACTAGACTATAGACTAGACTATAGACTAGACTATAGACTAGACTAGACTATAGACTAGACTATAGACTAGACTATAGACTAGACTATAGACTAGACTATAGACTAGACTATAGACTAGACTATAGACTAGACTATAGACTAGACTATAGACTAGACTATAGACTAGACTATAGACTAGACTATAGACTAGACTATAGACTAGACTATAGACTAGACTATAGACTAGACTATAGACTAGACTATAGACTAGACTATAGACTAGACTATAGACTAGACTATAGACTAGACTATAGACTAGACTATAGACTAGACTATAGACTAGACTATAGACTAGACTATAGACTAGACTATAGACTAGACTATAGACTAGACTATAGACTAGACTATAGACTAGACTATAGACTAGACTATAGACTAGACTATAGACTAGACTATAGACTAGACGATAGACTAGACTATAGACTAGACGATAGACTAGACTATAGACTAGACGATAGACTAGACTATAGACTAGACTATAAACTAGACTATAGACTAGACTATAGACTAGACTAGACTAGACTATAGACTAGACTATGCACTCGAATATTCACTAGTCTATAGACTATACTTTAGACTAGACTTATCAAAATTAAGGAATTTTGAAACATTTTAAAAAATATTGGAAATTTATCGAAAATTTTAATGTGATTTTTAATGCAATGTTTCTGTATTTGCATTTATGTTATTAACATTTTCTTTCTCTTAAGCCTCTAATAAGTTGTAAAGAGCGAACAATTATGTTGAAAAAAACTGCACAACCGGCTTAATTATAATTACAAAATCTTGACTTGATTTGAAATATGCAATTTCCTATACAAATACTAAAGTACGTGCATTACAGAACACATGGTAAACAACGAATACAAAAGAAAACAACAATAATAAGGAAAATATTAACAGAAACAAAAACTAAACCAGTTATTTAACTACAGCTTAAATCCGGCAGTCAAACAACAATAGTTCATTACATACAACAAAAACACTTGATCAATTCCCCCCAAAAATAATAAAAGAGAAATCTCTCTCTCTCTTAGTCATTCATTTAGCCATACACATTTACATGCATATATTTATAAATGTATGTATTTTTTTAAAGGGGGGATCGTCTCTGTTAATATAACAGCTACATAACATTGTTTCTCTCTTAGTTGCTGTTAAAGCTTACCCCAAAAAATACGTTTATTTTATTTATTTTTTTCTTATCTATTGGCTTGAATGTTAAAATTTCTGTTCAACATTTTCAATAAAATTTCAGTCAACGCCGTATATTCGATTCAAAAACAACGACCCACAGTGGTATAGGAAAAAAAAAAGAGGGAAATAATTCGGTAACTTCTAAACGGTTAATCCGATTTTAATGAAATTTGGTGTGCACAAAGAGGAGGTGTTGTCGAGTTTAGGTTTTGAATTTGGACCTTATAGGCCAACCAGGGGCCCGGCGGGGGGTCATCAAATTAGGACACCTCGGCTATGTTAAATTTTTAAAACGATCCTATTTCTTCATTTGAGTTCCGATTTAAAAAAAATTTCGTATATAGAATCTCCTCATCGAGCACTATAAAAAATGTTGTCATAGCAGTAAATTATCTCTTATAGTTTAGGAGATATTCGCATTTGAAAATTAAAATTTTAAAATTTTTACCGTCCTTACTTTAGTTTTTTTTGATAATAGCAGGTCCAAATATTCCCGATTTTCGCCATTTTTTTTTATTCGCTTAACAACAAGTTTATATATCAAGCAGTGAAAGAATTATGTAAAAATCATGACTGAGTCCAAAGTTATAGGCATTTTAATTTAAAAAATTTAAAAAAGGCGATTTTTTGTCATTTTTTTGGGAAAAAAGTATCTTTTTCTTTTTAAGTTATCTAAAAAGTTTCTAAGAAGATGTATATAGAATTTATACTTTTTGGAAAGCTGACTTTACATAAAATACGATAAATGAAACAAAACCTAAAAATTTTTGATACCGAGGGGACCAGGTCCATCCAAAAAAACCCTATTTTTTATGGAAAATTAAATTTTGAGCAAAAATTCTCAAATCGCATAGTCGATATCAAATTATAGTGACCTGTTTTATATGACCCAATAAGTTCTTAATCATTTTGTAACGGGTTTCGATAACCCCGCCCCTGGTATGGATATAATAGGCAAAAAACCAAAAAATCCCATTTTTGGGATTTTTTAAAACTTTTTTGGGAATTCCGGGATTTCTAATAAGAAAATTCGAAATTTTTATTTAATTTTGGATTTTGAGTAAAAAAATCTACCTAACTGTAAAATTTCATCAAAAAATATTCATAAATAAAATTTTTATTGCAATTTGAAAAATTTGTATCTTCGCAAAAACTGAATAAAAAACATTTTTTAATTTTTTTTAAAAAAAGTATTCCGCGAATTTTTTAATTTTCAAAAATTATATACAGTTTTGAAAAATAGACAAAATTACCTTTCCATTGATATATAACATGCCTACCTAATGTTTTTTAAGTGACAAATTAATTAGGGAAAACTCAACATCTTTTAGAAAATTTGCCTAGCACTATTATTTTCATCCATAAGGTTAACTCTTAAATTTGTTACATATATGGATGAAAATAATAGTGCTAGGTAAATTTTCTAAAAGATGTTGAGTTTTCCCTAATTAATTTGTCACTTAAAAAACATTAGGTAGGCATGTTATATATCAATGGAAAGGTAATTTTGTCTATTTTTCAAAACTGTATATAATTTTTGAAAATTAAAAAATTCGCGGAATACTTTTTTTAAAAAAAATTAAAAAATGTTTTTTATTCAGTTTTTGCGAAGATACAAATTTTTCAAATTGCAATAAAAATTTTATTTATGAATATTTTTTGATGAAATTTTACAGTTAGGTAGATTTTTTTACTCAAAATCCAAAATTAAATAAAAATTTCGAATTTTCTTATTAGAAATCCCGGAATTCCCAAAAAAGTTTTAAAAAATCCCAAAAATGGGATTTTTTGGTTTTTTGCCTATTATATCCATACCAGGGGCGGGGTTATCGAAACCCGTTACAAAATGATTAAGAACTTATTGGGTCATATAAAACAGGTCACTATAATTTGATATCGACTATGCGATTTGAGAATTTTTGCTCAAAATTTAATTTTCCATAAAAAATAGGGTTTTTTTGGATGGACCTGGTCCCCTCGGTATCAAAAATTTTTAGGTTTTGTTTCATTTATCGTATTTTATGTAAAGTCAGCTTTCCAAAAAGTATAAATTCTATATACATCTTCTTAGAAACTTTTTAGATAACTTAAAAAGAAAAAGATACTTTTTTCCCAAAAAAATGACAAAAAATCGCCTTTTTTTAATTTTTTAAATTAAAATGCCTATAACTTTGGACTCAGTCATGATTTTTACATAATTCTTTCACTGCTTGATATATAAACTTGTTGTTAAGCGAATAAAAAAAAATGGCGAAAATCGGGAATATTTGGACCTGCTATTATCAAAAAAAACTAAAGTAAGGACGGTAAAAATTTTAAAATTTTAATTTTCAAATGCGAATATCTCCTAAACTATAAGAGATAATTTACTGCTATGACAACATTTTTTATAGTGCTCGATGAGGAGATTCTATATACGAAATTTTTTTTAAATCGGAACTCAAATGAAGAAATAGGATCGTTTTAAAAATTTAACATAGCCGAGGTGTCCTAATTTGATGACCCCCCGCCGGGCCCCTGGTTGGCCTATAAGGTCCAAATTCAAAACCTAAACTCGACAACACCTCCTCTTTGTGCACACCAAATTTCATTAAAATCGGATTAACCGTTTAGAAGTTACCGAATTATTTCCCTCTTTTTTTTTTCCTATACCACTGTGCGACCGTTTTACGCGACGGTAGAAAAAAAGCGTTTCGTTTTAAAGGAAGAATTTAGTTTTTGTTTAAAGTAGAAAAAAAAACTATCAAAATAAATAAACGTGAATTTTATTGTAATTATTATGCATACAAAATAAATTTTTTGAAAAAAAAAATATATTTTTACATGCGCTTTATAAGTTTAAATAATATATATTTACAAAAAGAATTTTTAAAAATAATCAATATTTATTATAGATAAAAACAAAGTGATCTCATGAACAAAAATAAATTTTTAAACAAAAATTTAACAGATATTTTTGTTAAACATATAAAAACGGAAAAATTTTACACGGCAACTATTTTTATCTAAAAGGTTTTTTCTTTGAAAAAAATTTGTATAAAAGAAGCAACAAATTATTAATATTTTTTTTTAAATAAAAAGTAAAAGTTCAACTCTATTGTTTTCGTCAAATAAAACAAATATTTATGGTTTTGAATTTATTAAAAATAAATTTTTATTGAATTCCCTATTTTAATGTTAAATTTTTATAGAAACAAGTGTTTTTTTGTCTTTTAACTGAAAGCTGTTATTTTAAATTCTTTGTTATAGTTTTTTTATAACAGTTTTTTTTTTGCAAATTTTTAATACAATTTTATTAATTGAAACAAAAAATATAAATTGCATAATATTTATTACTATTTTTTTTTTGCTGATGGTGATTCATAAAGAGAAAGAGGAGCAGCGCTTGATTGTCATTTACACTTATTGATTAATTGTTTAAATTGTTAAAAAAAAAAAGATTATAAAAACAATTATACAGTTAATTTATTTCCCGGTTTTCAGGGAAGAGTTCCATTTCAGCATATTTTTTGTAAAAAAAATTATTTGTTTATAAAAACAGATTTCATTTTATTCAAAATTATTTTGTTATCAATAAAATTCTTAACTTGAAAAAAGTTTGGTGCCTTGACTCCTAACTCTACCATATATGTATGTAGCTAGATTATATTCAAGACTGTAATACAGATTGCAGACTAAACTATAGACTAGACTATGGACTCGAATATAGACTAGACTAGAGACTAGACTAAAGACTAGACTATAGACTAGACTAAAGACTAGACTATAGACTAGACTATAGACTAGACTAAAGACTAGACTATAGACTAGACTATAGACTAGACTATAGACTAGACTATAGACTAGACTATAGACTAGACTATAGACTAGACTATAGACTAGACTATAGACTAGACTGTAGACTAGACTATAGACTGGACTATAGACTAGCCTATAGACTAGACTATAGACTAGATTATAAACTAGACTATAGACTAGACTATAGACTAGATTATAAACTAGACTATAGACTAGACTATAGACTAAACTATAAACTAGACTATAGACTAGACTATAGACTAGACTATAGACTATACTATAGACTAGACTATAGACTAGACTATAGACTAGACTATAGACTAAACTATAGACTAAACTATAGACTAGACTATAGACTAGACTATAGACTAGACTATAGACTAGACTATAGACTAGACTATAGACTAGACTATAGACTAGACTATAGACTAGACTATAGACTAGACTATAGACTAGACTATAGACTAGACTATAGACTAGACTATAGACTAGACTATAGACTAGACTATAGACTAGACTATAGACTAGACTATAGACTAGACTATAGACTAGACTATAGACTAGACTATAGACTAGACTATAGACTAGACTATAGACTAGACTATAGACTAGACTATAGACTAGACTATAGACTAGACTATAGACTAGACTATAGACTAGACTATACTAGACTATAGACTAGACTATAGACTAGACTATAGACTAGACTATAGACTAGACTATAGACTAGACTATAGACTAGACTATAGACTAGACTATAGACTAGACTATAGACTAGACTATAGACTAGACTATAGACTAGACTATAGACTAGACTATAGACTAGACTATAGACTAGACTATAGACTAGACTATAGACTAGACTATAGACTAGACTATAGACTAGACTATAGACTAGACTATAGACTAGACTATAGACTAGACTATAGACTAGACTATAGACTAGACTATAGACTAGACTATAGACTAGACTATAGACTAGACTATAGACTAGACTATAGAACTAGACTAGACGAACTAGACTAGACTATAGACTAGACTATAGACTAGACTATATGACTAGACTATAGACAGACTATAGACTAGACTAAGACTAGACTATAGACTATACTATAGACTAGACTATAGACTAGACTATAGACTAGACTATAGACTAGACTATAGACTAGACTATAGACTAGACTATAGACTAGACTATAGACTAGACTATAGACTAGACTATAGACTAGACTATAGACTAGACTATAGACTAGACTTAATAGACTAGACTATAGACTAGACTATAGACTAGACCTATAGACTAGACTATAGACTAGACTATAGACTAGACTTAGACTACTATAGACTAGACTATAGACTAGACTATAGACTAGACTATAGACTAGACTATAGACTAGACTATAGACTAGACTATAGACTAGACTATAGACTAGACTAATAGACTAGACTATAGACAGACTATAGACTAGACTAGAGACTAGACTATAGACTAGACTATAGACTAGACTATAGACTAGACTATAGACTAGACTATAGACTAGACTATAGACTAGACTATAGACTAGACTATAGACTAGACTATAGACTAGACTATAGACTAGACTATAGACTAGACTATAGACTAGACTATAGACTAGACTATAGACTAGACTATAGACTAGACTATAGACTAGACTATAGACTAGACTATAGACTAGACTATAGACTAGACTATAGACTAGACTATAGACTAGACTATAGACTAGACTATAGACTAGACTATAGACTAGACTATAGACTAGACTATAGACTAGACTATAGACTAGACTATAGACTAGACTATAGACTGGACTATAGACTAGACTATAGACTAGACTATAGACTAGACTATAGACTAGACTATAGACTAGACTATAGACTAGACTATAGACTAGACTATAGACTAGACTATAGACAAGACTTTAGACTAGTCTATAGACTAGACTATAGACTAGACTATAGACTAGACTATAGACTAGACTATAGACTAGACTATAGACTAGACTATAGACTAGACTATAGACTAGACTATAGACTAGACTATAGACTAAACTATAGACTAGACTATAGACCAGACTATAGACTAGACCACAGACTATAGATTAGACTTGACTATAGTCTAGACTAGTCTAAAGACTGGACTATAGACTATACTGTATTCTAGACTGTATACTAGACTATATACTTGACTATAGACTAGACATAGACTTGACTATCAATTATACTTTATTCCAGTTAATAGACCAGATTATAGACTAGACTCCAGAGTGAAGAGATACATAATGAAAAAGTTTTGTAACTGTTATATTGTATATTCCTGTGTAAGATTTAAAGCTTCTTAATTTTTATATAAAATAATTCTAAAATCCGATTTTTCTCTTAACGGTTTATATATGTTCAATCAAAAAACAATATTGTTGAACTTTTTCTTTAAAAGAAAAAAACATGACTTTGCAACACAACAAAAAAAATGTTTGCCAAAAATAAATTTACGATATCAAAAACTAATAAATCTTTTTTATAGAAAAATAAAAGCAAAAATATCACTATTGTAAACACAAATCTAAAACGAACAAAAGCGAAAAAATTATAAAAAAATAAATAAAAAAACTCAGATAAAAAGTGAACTTTTTCAAAAGACAATTAACTTTAAAAAAGAAGAAGTGTTAAATAAAACAAAGCAAAATAATTAAAACAAAAAACAGCAATAAATCATGGAGTATATAGAGTATCTGGAAACAGCCTGGTATTATTTGCCTTATATATTCTATACCTTTGTATTCCTAACACTTATACCGAAATCTCTAAGTAAAATCAATCAATTCGCCAAAGCTGACTATGAAGCGAATCGTAATAAATGGCATCGTTGTTATGCACCCGATATATGTTGCCACAATTTGGGTGAAGCGGGAGAAGCTTTACCCAAACAAAAACCACGTAAAGCGGTAACCAGGGTTTACCCTAAGAAACAAACAGCCAAAAAGGAAGAATTGGTCGGCACAACGCATCAGCCCGTAGTACCCGATGAACCGGCCAATATCTATAAACGTCAGGTGCACACTCATACCAATGTTAATAAAATTGCTAAAATGTTTGAAAATGGTGGCGTACAAAAGAAAATCAATCGTGTTACGCCTACCGTATTGCCCTCCGATTTTCGTCGCTGTTCCATGGACTTTGATGATGAGGACACTTTTCACAAAAAGGAGGACTATGCAAATCAATCTCATGAAAGTCCTTTGAAAAAAGAAAATGTGGTCCTAAGAAGACTTTCGAAATTAACACAAGAACTAGAGGAAAATAATGAAAATTCTTCAAATGTTTTAAATCAAATGTCCCATGATGAACATCAACAAGATTTGCTTAATAGCAGCTGGCGCAGTGAACCCATACCCATACAGAGACGTAAACGTCAAGTACCCACTAGTATCTCAATGTTAAATGGTACCTCAGCCACACCCTCAACAGTATCACCCGCCCACTCTTCACCTTTGTCATCACCACGCTCCTGCAATTCACCGGAGCCCTCGTCATCACCTATTCTACGTAATCCTCCTGTACTTAATATGAACACTAGTTTAGAAGATCTATTTGTAGCCATAGCTAAGAGTGCTGAAAATTCCGAAGGTTTCTTATATCCCGGCTGCACCTCACTCTCACCCGTTACCTCTATAGATGATATATTATCACAACGTCGTCTATCACGACCTTTGTCTGCGTATTCTATAAGTGATCTTTTAAATGATGAACCCAATAAGGGCATGGATGAAACATATGTGGAGAATTTCTTAAAAGTTTTAAATAAAACTTGAACTCTCTCATGAAGAGTAATAAGGCCTAGTTTCACAGTGTGGGTTTAAGGTAAAATTTTTTGAGGGAAAGAAAAAACGTTTTTAATGAGTTAATTTAGTTTTAATACGTAGTTAGCAAAGTTTTTAAAACTTTATTTTCTTAGGAGATTTATTTATGCTTACTACTCTCAAAGTTTGGTTAAGTTATTAGTTCAGTTAAAACTTCTAGGCGTTTAGAATTTTAACTATAGTTTAAACTAGCAATATTGTATGTATGTAAATGCCAGTAAAAGTGATAATTAGATTAAATAGAATATTTATAATACAAACTATTTTACATTATTTTTATTTGCAGTTTAAAAGCTAATATATAGAGATTTGAATTTCGTGGGCTTAGATGAAACCCCATTTTTTCTCATATCTGATATTTTTCAGTTAAAACCAGTTTAATAATATACTTGTTATAGTTAAGAGTTTAAACCCATTTGTCAACTTTAGATCAATTTACAAAGAAATTAATTTGTAATAGTTCTGGAATCGGTTCTTTCATCAAAACTAATTTTTAAAGATTCTTAGTTCCTGGACTAGTTTTTTTCAAACTTGATCAAGAGTTTTGTTCCTAATAACCATTCTCTGAACAAGTTCTTGGAGAAATTTTATATCAAAACGAACATCTACTTAGAACCTGTTTACTTTACATTTCTATATGGATTAGTTTTTGAACTAGACTTTCGGTTTGATTTTAACATCCTTAGACTTTGAGTTGAGTTGAGTTCTTGTTCTATTTCAGATCTAGTTTAATTCTAGTTCAGTTCTAGTTCAGTTCTAGTTCAGTTCTAGTTCAGTTCTAGTTCAGTTCTAGTTCAGTTCTAGTTCAGTTCTAGTTCAGTTCTAGTTCAGTTCTAGTTCAGTTCTAGTTCAGTTCTAGTTCAGTTCTAGTTCAGTTCTAGTTCAGTTCTAGTTCAGTTCTAGTTCAGTTCTAGTTCAGTTCTAGTTCAGTTCTAGTTCAGTTCTAGTTCAGTTCTAGTTCAGTTCTAGTTCAGTTCTAGTTCAGTTCTAGTTCAGTTCTAGTTCAGTTCTAGTTCAGTTCTAGTTCAGTTCTAGTTCAGTTCTAGTTCAATTCTAGTTCAGTTCTAGTTCAGTTCTAGTTCAATTCTAGTTCAGTTCTAGTTCAGTTCTAGTTCAGTTCTAGTTCAGTTCTAGTTCAGTTCCAGTTCAGTTCTAGTTCTAGTTCAGTTCTAGTTCAGTTCTAGTTCAGTTCTAGTTCAGTTCTAGTTCAGTTCTAGTTCAGTTCTAGTTCAGTTCTAGTTCAGTTCTAGTTCAGTTCTAGTTCAGTTCTAGTTCAGTTCTAGTTCAGTTCTAGTTCAGTTCTAGTTCAGTAGTTTTCTAGTTCAGTTCCAGTTGTACGAAAATCCCCGCTTTTAGTTGAACTGAACTTACATAGAAATTTTAAAGTAAATAGCTTAAGCTGAGATTAAAATAAATGCAATAATTTTTTGAGTTAGATAAACTTGCTTAGAAAAATAAAACCAACTTTAAACACGCACTTAAACCAACACTTTGAAAACGTCCTTTGAAAGGTCTCTATTGTAAAAATTGAATAAAAAATACAAAAAATCCTGTAACATATTTCAAGTAAATGAGAAAAATGTTTCAAAGTGCCATGTCTTTAAGTTAAAAAAAAAAAACATTTATTGTGTTGATCATTTAAAAACATAAATAAATTAAGAAAGAAAGAAAACAAATGTCAGGCAGTTTTAAAAAACAAATATTGAAACTACATATATGAGTCACTCGGGTTTTTTTTCCACTACACTATTTTTTGAAGCACTTAATTTTGCCTTCTGCTTTTGTAAATAAGTTTATTACTTACATTTAACTTTATATGAAAATTTTACAAAAAAAAAAATTAATTATAAATGCCAGTCAAGCTTTACAAAAATAAATTATTATTAGTACTTTAATATGATTTTAATTATTTTGTTTAACACACAATTTTATTAAAACTAATTTAAATAATTTAAATTATTTTTTATTATTATTATTATTTATTATGCGTAATTTTTGTGTAAACCTTAATTCTCTATAAAATAAGAAATATTTTTTTTGTTAAAAATTTTTTAAACTTATTTTGTGTATGATGATTAAGTGTTTTTTTTAATAAAAAGGGAATGAATGAGTAAAGGTTAATTTTTTTAAATTTTTTAAAAATTTACTAGTTGTTTGTAGTAAGTAGAGGAAATTATGCCAGTGTTTATACGATTTTAGGGGTTTGATGGAAATCTATTATTCAAACTCTTTTGAAATTTATTAACTAAAGTTTGTATATAAAAAGTATTATAAATATTTTTTTAAAAGTTTAATTTAAAATTAAAACGAATATTATATTGTATATAAATAAAGAAATATAAATATATACAATTAAAAAAGTAATAATAAATAATAAAAATAAATTAATCGACTGAATTAAAAATTTGTTTATTAATTGTTTAAAGAATATGCCAATTAAGGCGATATAACTTAAGGTAATACGCAAAAATTATTCAGGTATAGGTCCGTGTATCTGTTAAACGCCCAAATGAGAAGAACATTTTATTATTAATATGACGCTAAAGTTTTTTCAGTTCTGGTTCAGTTCTAGTTCAATTCTAGTTCAGTTCAGTTCAGTTCTAGTTCAGTTCTAGTTCAGTTCTAGTTCAGTTCTAGTTTAGTTCTAGTTTAGTTCTAGTTCAGTTCTAGTTCAGTTCTAGTTCAGTTCTAGTTCAGTTCCAGTTCAGTTCTAGTTCAGTTCTAGTTCAGGTCTAGTTCAGTTCTAGTTCAGGTCTAGTTCAGTTCTAGTTCAGTTCTAGTTCAGTTCTAGTTCAGTTCTAGTTTAGTTCTAGTTTAGTTCTAGTTTAGTTCTAGTTTAGTTCTAGTTTAGTTCTAGTTCAGTTCTAGTTCAGTTCTAGTTCAGTTCTAGTTCAGTTCTAGTTCAGTTCTAGTTCAGTTCTAGTTCAGTTCTAGTTCAGTTCTAGTTCAGTTCTAGTTCAGTTCTAGTTCAGTTCTAGTTCAGTTCTAGTTCAGTTCTAGTTCAGTTCTAGTTCAGTTCTAGTTCAGTTCTAGTTCAGTTCTAGTTCAGTTCTAGTTCAGTTCTAGCTCAGTTCTAGTTCAGGTCTAGTTCAGTTCTAGTTCAGTTCTAGTTCAGTTCTAGTTCAGATCTAGTTCAGTTCTAGTTCAGTTCTAGTTCAGCTCTAGTTCAGTTCTAGTTCAGTTCTAGTTCAGTTCTAGTCAGTTCTAGTTCAGTTCTAGTTCAGTTCTAGTTCAGTTCTAGTTCAGTTCTAGTTCAGTTCTAGTTCAGTTCTAGTTCAGTTTAGTTCAGTTCTAGTTCAGTTCTAGTTCTAGTTCAGTTCTAGTTCAGTTCTAGTTCAGTTCTAGTTCAGTTCTAGTTCAGTTCTAGTTCAGTTCTAGTTCAGTTCTAGTTCAGTTTTAGTTCATTTCTAGTTCAGTTCTAGTTCAGTTCTAGTTCAGTTCTAGTTCATTTCTAGTTCAGTTCTAGTTCACTAGTTCAGTTCTAGTTCAGTTCTAGTTCAGTTCTAGTTCACTTCTAGTTCAGTTCTAGTTCAGTTCTAGTTCAGTTCTAGTTCAGTTCTAGTTCAGTTCTAGTTCAGTTCTAGTTCAGTTCTAGTTCAGTTCTTTCAGTTCAGTTCTAGTTCAGTTCTAGTTCAGTTCTAGTTCAGTTCTAGTTCAGTTCTAGTTCAGTTCTAGTTCAGTTCTAGTTCAGTTCTAGTTCAGTTCTAGTTCAGTTCTAGTTCAGTTCTAGTTCAGTTCTAGTTCAGTTCTAGTTCAGTTCTAGTTCAGTTCTAGTTCAGTTCTAGTTCAGTTCTAGTTCAGTTCTAGTTCAGTTCTAGTTCAGTTCTAGTTCAGTTCTAGTTCAGTTCTAGTTCAGTTCTAGTTCAGTTCTAGTTCAGTTCTAGTTCAGTTCTAGTTCAGTTCTAGTTCAGTTCTAGTCAGTTCTAGTTCAGTTCTAGTTTCAGTTCTAGTTCAGTTCTAGTTCAGTTCTAGTTCAGTTCAAGTTCAGTTCTAGTTCATTTCTAGTTCAGTTCTAGTTCAGTTCTAGTTCAGTTCTAGTTCAGTTCTAGTTCAGTTCTAGTCAGTTCTAGTTCAGTTCTAGTTCAGTTCTAGTTCAGTTCTAGTTCAGTTCTAGTTCAGTTCTAGTTCAGTTCTCGTTCAGTCTAGTTAGTTCTAGTTCAGTTCTAGTTCCCAAATGTGGTAAAGAAATTCTAAGGAAAATTTCGGATTAAACGCAGTTCTATCATTTGATAAAGCAATACTTTGATCTATTGGTTAAAAATTTGTTAGCCTATGAAATTGACATACCTTAATTTATATTTCTAATTGTTTGATATCTTCACTTCTCGGTAAATTCCTTTGTACAACGATATTTACTTCCTTGTTTTTTTATTATTATTAATATTATTATTTTAACTACATATTTTCCTCATATGTCTTTAGATTTTATTTCAATGCATACAATGGTTGTCTCAACAAATGAACTTAATTAAATTGTAAATAAATTTATCAAAATCAAAACAAGTAGAAAATATTCATTCAATATTGTTTATATAAATTAGTTATGTGTTATAAAGATTTATATCAAATAAAAAAAACTTATGTTGATGATGCGTCATACGGGTACAATTTGAGGAATGTTAGGAATTAGAAAGAAAAATAATTGGGTCAAATTATGTTTTAACAAATTAATTGAAAATGATAAATTTGAAAATAACGTGAAAATATTTTGTTCAATATAAAAGAATTAAGATATTTTTATAGAAAAACTGTATTGAAAATTGGTATTTTATGTCTACAAAATTCTTTGATATATTAGAGAAAATATGATATTTTCCAAAAAAAAATTTTTTTTATTAATTCACATATACATTTGTATATTGTTATTTTTTACTTAAGAAAATAAAATATTAAATGTAAGCATAAAAATATGATGACAAAAATATCGCAATAAAAAATCTTGTAATTTATAAAACACTTAAATAAAATACCTTTTTGTGTGTTTTGTTTCACCTTGAAATGATAAAAATATAATTTTATTTACTTAATTAAAAAGGTGTGTTAATAAGTTGTCTTTTGTGTTTTTGAAGAGAAAATTAACAGAGCACAAAAGAATTTGATACAGAATGAGAAAAAAACTGTAACATTTTTGATGGATGAACATACATTTTATAACAATTCTAAGATTTTATAATGAAAAATAACTTTTTAAAAAGTACCTACATTCAAAGGTACAAAAAAGATAAAAAAAGTATTGAAAAAGTTTTGTAGAACTATGTATTACCTAAAATGAAGTGGTATTTCTCTTAGTTCGAGAACCCAAAACCGTTTCATACCAATTTAATATTTGGGCGTAATATTATTTAAGATCTGGTTTTTCGTGACATTACTTTTTTGGATATTGGTCCATTATTTCACCTAGCCCCTATATAACAGGATTTCTTATTTATCTTACCTTCTATTAGATATACAAGAAAAATTTCGAATCAGCTTTTACTCCTACAACGAGCAAATAGGTGTGTATGGTACTTATTCGAAATTCTTACGTTTAGGGGCTGAACATATATACGTAACAAAGGTGATTTTGGTAATTTTCTTGATCCTTTATAACTTT